TGTGTGTACACACACATCTGCATTTATTCTGTTCATCTATCTGTATCCATGCTAAGATCAACTTCAGTTCATGATGAGGCCTTTGACCCTAATCCAGAACCACAGGCATCATTCTAGCCTTTTGCGGGAGTTGGGGAAGGAATGGTATACAAGGTCATCACTTTGTGATTTACTTAAGTCAGCAAATTTCATGAGTAAGCAGCTTTTGTTCCTAGAGATTTTCTAGAAGATACAGTAGTCTTTTGGCTTTCGCTTTACATGATGACCAAAAGTTTCAGAGTTTCATCATTGAACTTCTGCAAAGAACTGCAGGGAGGGCCAGCAGGTGGCGTAGTGGTAAAGTCATTGGACTCCCACATGGCTAATAGCTGTTAAAGTCCCAGACCTGATGGCATAAAAATCATGCCAGGTGTGTGTGCATCTGTACCCAAAATCCCAGGAGGAGAATGGAGGAAAAGGGATTGTGGCATGACAATCTCCCTGGGGAGTGATTTCTCACTTTCCCTCTCTCTGTCTTTGGTAGGAACACACACCCTATGGCAAAAACCTTAAAAAAAAAAAAAAACTGTGGGGAGCTAATGTGCTAAAACACAATGGTCTGTGAGGCTGACACATCGGGGGAGGTTCTAGGTTCACCTCCAGAAACAACTTTAATATGTTGGGCACATGAGCACTCATGGTACAAGTTGACTACAACTGGGGAGTAGATCATAGACCTACTCAAGACCCTGTTGGGGGTGCTGTCTTTTTGTCTCTATCTCTCTTGGCCTTGAAAGAAATGAAATAAATAAACTTTAGAAAAGGAACTCCAACACCATTATTACTTTCAGATGGCACAATTTATATTTATATTTGATTTGTATACTGTTCACTTGGGCAGTGGCCTAAAAAAAAAAATTCATTGTCATCATTTTATGATCATTGCCAACCTGCATTGAATGTTTACTGTGTGCCAGACACCACTGTAAGTCGTTTATGCCAGTCCTCATGCCTGTGCAAACAAGTTACTGTCATTCTCCCATCGTAGTGATAAGGAAGCTGAGACACAGAGTGGTGAAGGAGCTTGTGCCAAGTCCTGTAGCTAAGAGGGTAGAGGACCCAGCTTTAAACCCAGGAAGTCACTTCCACAGCCTGCATTCTTGCCATCATGCTGTGTTGCATCTCCTAAGAAGTACAAGCAGGATCCATGACAGAGAGTAATCTGCAGACTACCAAGAAAAGGAATGGTAGCTGATTTGATCCAGCTTGTTGGATACGGAGCTAGCAGCTTTTTCCAGTGCTTCTCTTTGACCTCCCCAGGGCTAGCCTAAATCTCCATCTGGAGGAGTATTAAGATTAGGTAAATAAATGGCCAAGTGCCCTGTGGAACCTATGTTTTCTGCTCAGTTCTCATTTGATTCCAAATTCTGATATTTTTCCATGAAGAATGACCCATTTAAGTCTGTGGCAAGAACCTGACACTGCTTGTTTGAACTTGACACCAGGTATTTGGCTAAAGGTGAATAGCAGTTACGGACACACATTATTAAGCAGGCAAAGTCCCCTGGGAACAGGAATTCTTCCCAGGGTACACAAATCAAGTACTTTTACTGGAAGGGTTTGGCTCATTGTAATAACATGTTATTGTCCATTTAGACATTGATGGTGAAGGGGTCAGTTACTCATTTCTTAAAAGAAGTTCATTTTCATTTCAGTTCCACCTCCCAGGTAAATCAATCCTAGCGCTGATCAACACTACCATTTTAAATAGAGATTTTGCTGTTTTAATTATTGTTAGAATGGTTGCCTCATCTGTGTGTTACATAGACATCATGGATATTTAGAGAAAATATGAGCTAATGGGAGCATAACAAACTCCGATTATTCATTTGTGTGGGTGGGCGAGGGAATGGGGCAAGCTGTGAGAATCTGCTTCTCGGCGCACACACAGCTTTTGCAAACACCCTGTAGCCTTCCTCTGCTTGATTTGATGGAATGTTGTGAATGATTTCCATTGCTTTTGGCTAGAATACCTTAAACATGTGGGATGCCTTTGACAAAAAATAGTTGCACTAGACATTTAACAGCCGTCTCCTGCTCACTGTTGCCATGTTACTCATGGGTGGCTTAGCTGGTCTTTAAGCTTGACCTTGTAAAGAGGGCTGTGGTTGGGAAAGAGAGTCAAAATCTAGGGCCCCAATTTTTAAATGAGATGTTGAATGTTGCATTTCAGGAGTTTGGCAGAATAGAAAATGCTTAGTTGTTGCTGTCAAGGTATTTAAGAAATATAAGAACACACATAAGCCACACCAGAAGATTTGTTTTAGGAAGAGCTCGTATATCTACAGTTCTTTTATTTTTTTCACAGTAAGAGGGTGTCTGAGTAATGTGTATTTTATTATGTGTTAGGTATAGTCATCTTGCCACAGATTTCCAAACTCTTGACTTCATAGCATCAGGTTACGAATTAGATAGAGTGCAGAAATATCAAACTCCGTGTTTTGTAGTCCATCTCCTAGAAGAGTTATTCTTAGGCTGTAGAATGTATCAGCTGATGGGAAGCTTGCCAGTGGATACTCTGGTTCAGGAGGTCTGGGGCACAAGAATCTTTATTCCTAGGGGGCCCTACTAATCAGTGGTATAGGTGATCTGTATACCACACTTCGAGACACGTTTGCCCTGTAAGATTCATGAGTTTCGTCCAAGGACATCTAGAGAGAGCTTAGTTATGATGGTTATATAACAGAGAGGATGGCAAGGATCTTAGATGTCCTCATTATGTCTTCTTGTTTTTAGCATCAAGGTGTTTTGTTTTTTAACTTTGGTGTTTAATTTTCTGGGGTAATGAGGACTTTTATGCATCTGTTCTAAAGTGCCTAAAAACTTCTTAGAAGATGTGATTGTTTGCAGTTAAGCTTCCATGAACTCTTTGGCATCACTTGGTTATCTTACCAATAGTGTTGAAGTGTCATTATCTTTCCACATGCTAACACTGCGTAACACTGAATTTTTCATCTTGGCCAATATGATGTGTATGAATAATGTGTTCCTCATTTTCATATGCATTTTTTAGAGAGATTTTTGCTATAGGATGTGTGTACTCACCGGAGAGACAGAGAGAGACAGAGAGACAGAAAGTGAGAAATCACCTCCGAGGAGAGATGGCCACACTGCAGTCCCTTCTCTGTTTTCCTCTCGATATCTTGAGCATGCACACACATGTGCCCAACATGAGTTTTAAGCCATTGGGTCCGAGACTCAAACTGAGTTGACTACGTGGGAGTCCAGTGAGGTTACCATTATGCCATCTGCTGACCCTTTCATATGCATTTCTTTAATTGCTAGCAGGATTAGAAAAAAATAAGAAATTTACTGAACGTCTATTTGAATTTAGAAACTATTCTAATAACCAATTAGAAAATCAAATAGAATATAAACTCCTCCTTATAATAGCAATGCAAATTAAAAATACCTAGTAATCAACTTTTTTTTTGTAGGTCTGTAATTTTTAAGTTTTGAAAAGTTTTAAATGCCAGGCATGAGTTTAGCAAGAAACAAGCAAGACTCATGTAGATAAAACTTTACAACTCTATTATAGAGCATAAAAGATTTAAATACATGAAAATGTCATCCTTGGGTAGGATGACTCAGTATTGTAAAAATGTCAATTTGCTCTATATTAAACTATGAATTCAGAACATACCAGTCAAATTACCAGAGTAACCTTTTTAAAGGGGATATTATGAAATTATCCTAAAATTCATCTAGAAAAGCAAATAGGCAAAAATAGTCAGTCATGAGGATATTAACCCCAGCAGATATTGAAACATATTTTATATGATTCAGTAATAAAACAGTATAGCATTAGGTCAAACTAGACAGAAAGATTAATGAACACGGTAGCGAACCAAGGAATGGGTGAAGTGCATAGGGAGATTTGGTATCTGATAAAGATAGTATTTAAAATCAGTATGTTTAAAAGGGGGCAATTCATTAAATGGTATTTGGATAACCAGTTAGACATAGGGAAAAACACAAGAGATGATAAACTTAAAATAGGACAAGGATGTAAATGTAAAATAATGAAACCATAAACATTATAGAAAACAGGTGAATTTTTAAAATAACCTGTGATCTAAGATGAATCATTAAGTCATGATCTAAAACTGAGAAGCCATAGAGGAAAATGATCAGTAAGTCTGAGGATATAAAAATTTCTGTGTGGCAAAAATGTCATACACAAGATCTAAATACAAATGACAGCTTGAACTAAATGTGGAACTGTATTACAAAGGGCTAGGTTTTTTTTTTTTTTTAATAAGTAAAAAGTACTTACAAATAAATTTTTTTTAAATCCAGAAAACCCAAAAACCAAACTGGGAAGAGAATATGTGCATGAAAGTCACAGAACAGGAAATACCCATTGTTTATGAAAAGTTGTTCACCACTCTTGAATAATATTACCCCAAATTAATACCAGAAATTAAAAGGAGTTCAAAATATGATTCGATTTTACTCTTGGGGTAATTTATGGAAATTAACATACTTAGTGAGTTGGCTGAAATAGCCTTGCTCCCTCTATTCTTCTCTGAAATATTGATAACTGAACTAGGAGCTCTCGTGGCCATTAAATAAAGGGGTTAAGTAAAAAAATGTATGGCAAGCCTCCACTTGCATCATTTCCTTGCTCTTTTGGCATTCTATAAGAAAATACATTATTCTGTTATATAGCCTTGCAAAAACTCATTTAAGAAACTCTGGTGGGCCAGCAGATGGCTTGGTGGTTAAGGCACTGGACTCCCACATGGCCAACCTTACCTCAAGCCCTGCACCAGCAGCTTGAAAATTATGCCCGGCACATGTATGTGTGTGTCCAAAGTTCCAAGAAGAGAATAGAGGAGAAGCTATTTTGGTGTGACCATCCGGGGGGTGATTTCTCTCTCTCCCTCTCTCCGGTGAATGCATGCACGCTATGGCAAAAGCCTAAGAAAAAAGAAAAAAACACTGGTAAGAGTACTTACTATGAGTTAAATTTTCCTAATCTGAAGATCCAAATCCAAATACTTCAAAATTTGATGTCATAAGTAGAAATATGATGCCATAAGAAGAAAATTTCACACTTTACCTCATGTGATGGGTCTCCAGTAAAATACTACAATACAAAAATATTGTTTAAATTACCTCCAAGCTATGTATATAACCTTATGAAACATAATTTTGTGTTTAGACTTAGGCCCCATTCCCAAGACCCCTAATTATGTATATGCAAATCTTCCAAAATCTGAACCATTTGAAGTGCCAAGCTTTTTGGGTAAGGCATACTCAACCCATATGTGCTAGGTATTGTTCTGAATATTTTATGAGCGGTCTCAAAAAGTTAAAAATTACTTATTATGAAAAATCTGTGCAAAATTTTTTACATCAAAATAAACTCATTTTAATTCCGTTTTTTTTGTGTGGTTTTAATTGCTACTGTGTACACTTGTCAAATTAACAGACAGACAATACTCCCTGTGCCACAGTCCTTTTTTTTCTATTACGCTATCCAATAAGGACCCAATGTGTTTCAAGCCACTAGGGCTGGGATTTGAACCATGATTAGCCATGTGGGATCTGACTGTTTGTGCCTAGCTCTTTTTTTTTTTTTTTTTTTTGGAGAGATTTTCACTGTAGGGCGCGTGCGCTCGCCAGACAGACAGAGAGAGACATAGAGACAGAAAGCGAGAAATCACTCCCCAGGGGGGATGGTCACGCCGCAATCCCTTCTCCTCCATTCTCCTCTCGGGATCTTGGGCACGCATGCACACGCGCCCGGCGTGAGTTTTAAGCCACCGGGTCCGGGACACGAACCGCGGTCGACTACGTGGGAGTCCAGCGACATAGCCATTACGCTAACTGCTGGTTCCCTTGTGCCTAGCTCTTAACTGTTGCAATGTGAGACCAGTCCTGATTCCATTTTTCTTGAACTTTTTGAAGTACCCTTGTGTAATATCAACATACTTCTATATTACTTAACATTTAACGTTGTATAAAGCATTTAGCACACCTTGTAAATGAATGAGCCAAGAGACCTAAGGGAAGTGAACATGGGAGAAACTACCTACTTCCTCTATGAGCAGCATGCTTGAATTGCCTGAACACGTTTACCTTCTCATGCAGGTACTTCTCTAGCCATCTGGGAAAGATTCATTCTAAAATTCACTTCCAGACACTACAGAGGAGTGCATGGGGAACCCATTTATCTCCAAAGGAATTTGTGGAACCGAACCTTCTCAATAAAGCTTCTCAATACAAGGGGAAAAGCATCATCCTACCTTTAACCTACTGATTTGATTACCCTCCCTCCCAGGTGGGGCTTCGTGGTTCCTTCTTGGTGTCCCTGTCTTTTTTCCCTGCCTTCTGTGGAGGGAGGACCATGGAGAATCTTTACTGGTCCTGGCATTAGAATGAGTCAGCTGTCCTGTTGCTGGGTTACACCCACAAACAACAAAACAAGAACCTTTATTGGGTAGCATAGGCCTGTTGAAAATTCTGGAGCCCACAGGAATGTTGCTTCCTGATCTCTGTCCCCCACTGAGTATGAGTGACCAGCCAGGACTTCTGTCTAGACCTTGAAATACCAACTGGTTAGCATGAGAGCCTGGGCCTAGGAGGAGACTCCTTCTGAGTGTTTCACTCTCGAAGTCTCCCTCCTGGCCTCTTTGGAAGATGGGTGAGCCTGTGCCTCCCAAGACTTCTCTGACTGACTTGCTCAGCACTAACACTTCCCATTAAGTCCCCATAGCTCCGTTGCTACTTACTTCCTCCTCTCTGCCGAGGTGACTTGGGGTGACTTTGTCATCCAGTTACCACAGCAGGTGTTTACTAATTGTCTCCTTGGTGCCAGGACTGTTAGAATCCCCAGTCCCAAAACACAGGTCATGGTCCTGAGCTTAAGACACCCACAGCCTATTTGGGGAGATGGGCAAGTCTCTAAGATGGCAGTGCCATGATGGAGGTGTGCACAGACTGTGAAGGAAATAGCAGGAACATCTGCTCTAGAGGACCAAGTGCTGCATTGAGCTCTCCCAAAAAGGGAGGACAGACAGAGCGAAGAGCTTAAAACAGGTTTGAGCCACCTAGAGCCACAACCCATCTGGAATGACTGTGGAACGGGGTGAATGGGGAAGCAGTAGGGCAGGAAGCCTCATCCTGCTGAGGTGTCCAGTTTGGTCTCAAGGTGATCAGAGATAGTGAAAAATCCTACTCATGGGAATATTTGATGGATTCCGCTTGAAAGGTCCCCACTATGGGTGTAGATTGCAGGAGGCTATAGGGGCAGATAGAGGCCGCTACAAGAATCCATGTAAGAAATGAAGAGGGCCTTGACTGAGGTGGTGGGCCAGATGTAGGTGAGCTTAGGAGGGGAGGATAAGTAGGCTTTATTGCTTAGCTTTGAGGGGTGTGAGCAAAGAAACTGTGGGATGATGGGGTGGTTAACTTGGGAAGTAGCAGGTTTGTAAGAGAATAGCAGGTTGTTGGGTAAAAGGTGGTCAGTTAGACGTTGATCTGCTACATTTGTAATTCAAGTAGAGATCAGCATTTAGATATCTTAAGAGCTATGTCCAGACATAGAAGAGATAGAGTCTCTGGCACTCTAGCCAAACTACATACCATATATAGGTGGGTCCGAGATGTTCTGCTGGGCAGTGGCTTCTGTGGAAGCAGTGGCCCATCCTTGACCCTGCCTTACATTGCTTGCTTTCCCTTCTCTTCTCTCAACTCTCAACTCTCAACTCCTCCTCCCACCCCCTAGCCCCCAACTATGGCCTCTCCTACAGCCCTTTGAATTCAGTGTTGACCTAGTAATGGGACCATATCATCTGTGGGGGCCGCAGGTTTCCTACTCTTCCAACCCTCGCTATCTTTTGTCTCAAGAGGGACTCCAGCCCAGTTTCTGAATCCCAGCCTCCATCTTGACCACTCTGCCTACTTTTAGCTGACTGACCTCAACTGCTTTGAGGTAAGGGTGGGACTTCAGATAGTCAAGAAAGATCCCTGAATAATGCTGACACAAGGACCTTGCAGAAAATTATCAGCTCTTGAAAAGAGGGTGAAGGAGCAGCCAAGAGTGGGGGAGTGAAGTGAGGAGGAATCCAGATCTATACTTGTCAGCAGACTCACTCTTCTGGGTGATTTCTGTATGGAGCCTGATCTAGAAACTCTAGATATAGTCTTTACTTTCAAAATTGACAAAGCTGTGTAGTTATACCTTGGTTTAGGTGAGCTGGTTTCTGTTGACTTATTTCAGCCGCTAGCACAATGCCCAGCATACAACAGACACTCAATAAATATTTGTTGAAAAAAAAAAAATGAGTGTGGATGCCAATAGTCTCCCGTAATTGTAATTATAGGTGTGTGGGGGTGACCTGTTGGCTTTGTGGGTCTTTGCAGTGGGCCTCTACTGAAGCTGGAGGAGTTTTCAAATATTTTCTGTCTTTATGTCTGCAAGAAGCTTCCAGGAAGCAAATTCTCACCTTTCCAAAGCTCTTCTCTCAAACTGTAACTGTGTCATATGTTCCTACAATAATTTTCCAATACATACCATTCAATTCAATTCTGAGACTAAATAGCTGAAGTTACTGCAGACGCCACAGCTTAGTAACTCAGTAAAACAGAGATCAGCAGTTAGCATAATGGCTATGTCACTGGACTCCCATGTAGTCGACCACGGTTCAAGTCCCGGACCCAGTGGCTTAAACTCATGCCGTGTGCATGCGTGCCCAAGATCCCAAGAGGAGAATGGAGGAGAAGGGATTGCAACGTGGCCATCCCCCCGGGGGGGTGATTTCTCGCTTTCTGTCTCTCTGTCTCTCTCTGTCTGGCTGGCGAGCGCATGCACCCTATAGTAAAAACCTCTCCAGAAAAAAATAAGAACTCAGTAAAACAAGACCACCCCCTATTTCAGATGTCATCCCCAAGTTAGCTACACTTCTGCCCAGCAGACTATAAATTTGGGGCTTCTATGACCTTTCCTCAGATTTAGTAATTTGCTAAAATGGGTTAAAAAACTCAGGAAAAGACTATACTTATGATCACAGTTCTGTTATAAAGGATATGACTTGGGCATAACAAAATAGAAGAGACATATAGGGTAAGGTATGGGGCAGGACAAGGAGCTTCCAGCCCTCCCCATACATCAGCCCAGCAGCACTGCAAGCCTGGCATTTGAGAGTTTTTATTGATGCTTCATTACTTAGTCATGATTGATTAAATCTCAAGTCCCAGAGGTTGGGGTTGGGGCTGAAAGTTCCAGTTCTCTAATTACAGGGCTGGTTCTCTGGCAACCAGCCCCTATCCTAAAGCTATCTCAGGCCCTCGTCCCGGACCCAGTGGCTTAAACTCATGCCGTGTGCATGCGTGCCCAAGATCCCAAGAGGAGAATGGAGGAGAAGGGATTGCAACGTGGCCATCCCCCCGGGGGGGTGATTTCTCGCTTTCTGTCTCTCTGTCTCTCTCTGTCTGGCTGGCGAGCGCATGCACCCTATAGTAAAAACCTCTCCAGAAAAAAATAAGAACTCAGTAAAACAAGACCACCCCCTATTTCAGATGTCATCCCCAAGTTAGCTACACTTCTGCCCAGCAGACTATAAATTTGGGGCTTCTATGACCTTTCCTCAGATTTAGTAATTTGCTAAAATGGGTTAAAAAACTCAGGAAAAGACTATACTTATGATCACAGTTCTGTTATAAAGGATATGACTTGGGCATAACAAAATAGAAGAGACATATAGGGTAAGGTATGGGGCAGGACAAGGAGCTTCCAGCCCTCCCCATACATCAGCCCAGCAGCACTGCAAGCCTGGCATTTGAGAGTTTTTATTGATGCTTCATTACTTAGTCATGATTGATTAAATCTCAAGTCCCAGAGGTTGGGGTTGGGGCTGAAAGTTCCAGTTCTCTAATTACAGGGCTGGTTCTCTGGCAACCAGCCCCTATCCTAAAGCTATCTCAGGGCCTCGCCCTATGAGAGACACTCAGGTCTGGTCTAATGGGGCTCTGGTCACAGAGGAAACCCCATGAGTTTTAGGAGCTCTGTACCAGGAATCAGGGTCAAAAAACAAATATAGTGCATAAGGAGACTTCAAAAAATTTGTGGAAAGTATAATTACAGTACAAGTTTATTTTGGTGTCAAAAAAAATTGAAATCCATGTATAGTTTTTTCATAATATGTATTTTACATGAAAATTTTGAAGACCCTCTTATTTTTTTTATCTTACTACCACAGTAATGGAAACTGATTTTGGCAGACTCAAGAACGGCTGGCCCGGGACCAGCAGTTAGCGTAATGGCTATGTTGCTGGACTCCCATGTAGTCGACTGCAGTTCGCGTCCCAGACCCGGTGGCTTAAAACTCACACCGGGCGCATGTGCGTGATTGCCCAAGATCCTGAGAGGAGAATGGAGGAGAAGGAATTGTGGTGTGGCCATCCCCCCGGGGGGTGATTTCTTGCTTTCTGTCTCTGTGTCTCGCTCTGTCTGTCTGGCAAGAGCACGCGCCCTATAGCAAAAACCTCTCCAAAAAAAAAAAAAAAAAAAAAAACAAAAAAAAAAAAAAAAGCAATGGCTGGCCCTTCTAATCCCAGTTGCCATTAGAAGGACCATCACTGGACCCCAACTTCACTGTATTTGACAGCTGGAAAATATTTTGAGCCCTACGTGTTCTTTGTTCACAGACAGAAAAACAGCCTCTGGGAATGTGGGTGCCACTGGGTGACTGTGTTTAGGGTCCTACAGAGCATAGGGGCCAGTCAGAGGGATGTGGGTTAAACGCTACCTCTACTTCTTAGCTGCATCGTCTTGGGCAAATCATTTATTTAATAAGGTCCATTTCTAAACATGGAAGAAGTCTGAGTGTACTTCTCTCTTCATGTTAAGATCTGATGTAGGCCAGGAAAGAATGGGACCCTCTCAGCTTGCTGTCAGGATGGATAGTTTGGATTCAGCCCGAGTGACTACTTTGTTCTCATCTTAGTCCTGGCAAAACCTAGTCTGCTCTTCCCTCAGTAGGGCTGTTGAGAGAGGGTGTTGAGGAAACGTTTTAACTGTGTGTGTGTGATTATCTCTCATCAAAGGGTTCTCTGAGGTGTCCTTGATTGCCAGGCCTTGTGCCCCCTACCCCTGTCCTTACTCCTAATCCCCACACACCCAGATAGAGCCACAGGCGTCACTTTGTCTTATCTTCCCCACATTTGGACAAAGACAAACCCCACCCTTTATCTGTGGTTTAATAAAAACTTGCTTGAAGAAATGAACAATAGGGGCAACATCCCAAACTGAACAGAGAAAAGCCATTTTCTGGAAACTCAAATGTTAAGATTATGGCCACCAAAACAACTTAAAAATAATCCCTGTGTCAGGCCCGAGGCTTGTCTGTTACAAACAATAAAGAGAGCAGACCCAGGATGGTACTTTTCCTACAATGTCTTTGGTGAGAACGATTCTAGAAGTGCAGATTCCAGTGGACAGAGCTCAGGAGCCCCGTTTGCTTTGAGAGTTTTGGCACAGCCTCCTCCATATGCTGAAGGTGCTTGTCTGACTAAGCCCTGAAGGGTCCTGAAGGCGAGAGAGAGATGGATACAGTCTCTTCCCTCGGTTTCCATTTTGGTCCTTTTTTCTTTCCTAGAACTGTTTTCCAGTTGAGGATGGGTTATTTCTCATTACTCGTTAGAGGGATTCTGAATTCTTCCTCTCTAGTCCATTTTGTGCACGATTTTCCCCTTACAATATGGAGCTGACCTGTCACCCTCCCGTTCTTCAGTGGTCACTAGGTTTAAGACAGGCATGCTGTGCCTTTCTGTCCGTCTGCTGTCTGCCTGTCCACCTGTCTGTCTGCCATCTTCCTGCCACTGTTCTTACCTGGTCCTCCCTCTGTCAGCTCCAGCCACTCTGACCTCTCCTTTCTGACACCATGCCATTCACTTGTAAATCAACCCTAACACCCAAGGCAGTGTGTGTGTAGGGGGGGGAGGGGGGCAGAAGCGACTTTTAGTAATATCTGGAATGAGTGGACTTTGCTTAAGTTGTTCCATCACAGACTCTCACTGTGTTTTGTTAGCCTTCATGGCCACACTTACAGGACCTCCTCCAAGGCATTTTCCTGGGTTCCATTGCTCAAAATGTGTCATTTTATATCCCTGTACTGAAGCACTTTATGTACAGTATGGTGGGTTAGTGTGACCATAGATGTGTTTTGTCTGTCTGTGCTCTAAAATGTAGGTTCCAGAAGGCAAGGACCAGTGTTTTCCTTAGCACCTATCAGAGACTGGTATATAATAGCTGTTTAATAAATATTCATGAATCAGGCCCGGCAGTAGTGCAGTGTGATGGGACCCACATGGGAAAGGTCCTGGTTCTTGTGGGACCTCCCTGAGCACAATGGCGCAGGAGTGTGTCTATAATTGGGGTTGACTGAGACTCAGGGTAGACCATAGCTCTTTTGGGAGAGTCTTACTCTTGTTTTTTCTCTCATGGAATAAATAAACTGAAAAATATATATTTATTGGGCCAGCCAGGTGGCGTGGTGGTTAAGACGGCTATTTCCGACATGGCCGACTGCGTGATTCCAGTCCAGAACTCAACGACTTGAAAAACACACCAGTTGCATGCACACATACGTGTGTGTGTGTGTGTGTGTGTGTGTGTGTGTGTGTACACCAAAAATTCTGAAAGGAGGATGGAGGAGAAGGGATTGCAATGTGGTCATACCCCCAGGGTGGTGACTTCACTCTCATTCTCTACCTTTCTCTGGGGAGCACCATACCCTGTAGCAAAAACAAGCAAACAAAAACTATATATATATTTTTTATGTATACATTTTTATATACATAAACATTTCTTGAATAAACTTCCGAAGAATGGGAACTGTGTCCTTTTTACCCATGAATCTGCGGCAGCATTTTCACATTGAAGATAGACCAATACATGTTATTTTAGGTTTAAATAGGGTTTTTAAATAGAGTTCATGTCCTCAAACCTTGTGGGAACATAAAGGTGAAAAATCCAGATATGCCATACGGCATCACAGCCATAGTAGCTATAACTGTGTTCATTTCCCAGCTGTAAAGTCTTGTCTGTATTTCTTTTCTCTGGTTTGTGAAAGATGGTGCATGAAAAGTCTCCCCAAAGCACATGTGCAAGTACACACTAACAGTATTGTTTCTGATATTGAGTCATGTTACAGAAAAATAAAAATAAGCTCAACTCTGGCCCTGAAAGCTGGAATGGATACTGCCATACTTCCTAACAAACTATTTCCCTTACTGGCTGGAATTCTTAGCATTTGTGGGACCAGAAGCGCTATTTTACACATGCACGCCTTGTCTTCATGGATGCCAGAGACCGGGTTTTAAACTTTAAAAAGCCTCACCCATAGTAGATTTCAATACTTTCTGAGTGACTCTGTTATTCTGTTGGAAAGTAAAGGAGCTGTTTCTACATCATCTTTTTTTTTTTTTTGTCTTTTTTGGGTTATTTGTGTTTTATAGATGAGCATTTATATCTCTCTGTGTTGACCTCTTTTCCAGGGAGGTTCCCCTGAAGGATGCTAAGGAATATGCTGAATCCATAGGTGCCATAGTGGTTGAAACAAGTGCAAAAAATGCTATTAATATCGAAGAGCTCTTTCAAGGAATCAGTAAGTACCCAACGCTGTGTTTTCAGCCTAGCTTGCATTTTTATGCTTCTGGGAATCAAAGGATAAAATTGCACAGCTCTGAAGTTGAACTTTTACTTTGTGTGAATTTATCTGATGCCAAGGATATAAAACCTACCAGTACTCACCTCTGCTATGCCTGTCGATGTGAAATCTTCATAGTGCTGTGCTTAAACCTATTTATTCTATGCTTTGTGAATTAAAATGAAGTAATACTGTTTGCAAAGAGATGATTTATTTCCATTAAACATCATGCATTCTATAGCATTTTTATTTTTATGTCGACAGAGTAGATAAAATAGACAGTAGTCCTGGCCATTGTGGTGTGGCAGTAATGCAAGTGCCCTGCAAGGCTGGAAGCCATATGGCCCACCGCACGTTCAGACCCCCGAATCAGCTTGAAAACACGCAGGACATGTACAGGGGACCAGGGTCCTGAGTAGCCGAGGGCTGTTGGGCAGGGGTATCACAACATAATGAGACCTACAAAGGTACATCTCTTTGTTTTGTGTACACACATGTGCTCTGTAGCATAAAATATGTAAAATAGACATAAGAAAAGAACCTTTTAGTAATTTCTTTTGCTTGTTGATTGTCACCAAAAAGTGTCTTCATCTCCTATCATTGAAATTGGGAATTGGGTAGATGTGTAAAGATTTCCCTCCTTTCAGATAAGCTAATTAAAGGAAGTATCGTGATAGCTTCCTTTTTTTTTTTTTTTTTTTGGAGAGGTTTTTGCTATAGGGCGTGTGCGCTCGCCAGAAAGAGAGAGACAGAAAGCGAGAAATCATCCCCCAGGGTGATGGGGGATGGCCACGCCACAACCCCTTCTCCTCCATTCTCCTCTCGGGATCTTGGGCACACACGCACACGTGCCCAGGCGTGAATTCTAAGCCACCGGGTCCGGGACACAAACCGTGGTCGACTACATAGGAGTCCAGCAACATAGCCATTACACTAACTGCAGGTCCCACAGCTTCCTTCTTTGACACCAGTTCTGGGTCTGTTATGCTTCCGTTTCTTTTTGCTGGGTCCCCACAAATAACCTGATCAAAGAACTATTTGCCAGCTGTTGGGCTCACTAACACATCTCTCTGCAGCCATGAGGCTTCGCACTCCCCAGATTTCACCTTCCTAAATTCGCCGGTCATGTGGTTCTGTTCTGGGTCCTGCCAGAGAAGTATCTACTGACAGATGTCTGGGGAAATGGCTCAGAGCTGTCCTCAGGAAAATTCCATCACACCTTCAGAGCTGCTGGGAGAAGTACCGGTGTTTGCTGAAGTGCTGGCATAGGAGGTCCTGGGGTATCCACCTCAGGGAGATGTGAACCCCTGAACAGTTAGCAGTTGTCTTCAAATATCTTGGACCTAGATAATTCTAGAAGGGAAACTGAAGATGTGCTCTTTTCTGCCTGGTCACTGTTGGTGGCACTCTCAAGTCAGAGGGCTGGCCTTCCCAGAACAGATTTCACTTCTGTTTAACTGGCTGGGAACAGTTAGAGGACCCACAGCAGGGAATCTTTTGTTTGTTTATTATGTTCACTTGATGGAGAATTCATTGGAGATGGGAAATTCTGACTTGCTTTCCTTGCACAGTGCAGAAATGTGTAAAATACATGAGCGAGCGAAAGAATGGCACTGGGCCTTCCCTCCCAGCACTGGCCTCCTTCTCGCTGGAGTCCTCCTCACCTCCCCTTTCTTCCACCTTCAGAAGGATTGTTTTCCTGCTATAACTTTACACGCCACAGAATAATGCCCTTCTGGTTCGTCAACCTGAGTAGCTGGGCTTTGGAGTGCTGGGCTATAATCTTATGTTACAAACTCCATATTATCACACTCTGCTCTTTCCCGAGGATGGCCAGAGAGGGCCTCTGCTGTCTGTAGTAGTGTCATTCTGGGTGATGTCTGAGAGTCTGGCTTGAACCCATTATGCTACATGTTGTATTTCCTTAGACCAAACTCATTATTTTCTGATGGCGTTTGTCTTTTTTTTTTTTTTTTGCATAAGTATTTAACATTTTATTTTTATAGTGGTGTTGTTTTTTTTTTTAGTTTATTTATTTATTTTGTGAGTAAGAGAGATAGAGATGCAGCAGCCCCCAGAAGATCTTGACCCTGTGATCCGCCCCTCTGGGTCGTGGGTGTGAGCATGCCTGTGATGTATTTAGGGTCTCCACTTGTGAACTGTCAACCTTCCCCTGTGGGCCGGCCTTGTGGAGCATCACGTTTTACTGCTGTGCCACTGTTCAGTCCCTTTACAAGTGGTTTTAACTAACGAAGCTGGATCACCTCTGTCCACTGACCGCTCCTGATGACTGCTACGTGAACACCATTTGTTTGCACAGCTCCTTCTGTTTTACAGGGCCCTCCCACCTGGCATTAGCTCTCTGACCCTGAAAGGCAGCCGACACAGGCAGCAGTGAGCACAGGGCCTTGCACCCCTTAATTTCAGCTTGAGATTTCTGCACAAGCTAAGAGACTTCCTCAGATTTATGAAAGTTATTAAAAAAAAATCAGATAAGCACCTCAAAGAGAACACTAAGCCTAAGCAGCAAGTACTCATAACTTAACTTGAAAGATCATTTCTTTATATGATTCAGCCGGTATAAATCCCTTCACGTGAAAGGTCTCAAGGGCTCACAGTGGTGGGGATTTTGAATAATTAATGCCTCAGGTCCTGGTGGTCTGCTTCATTTAGGAACAAACAAGTGTTTTTGCTTAAAGCATGGGATAATTTTGGCTTCAAAGTCCTATGTAATACATAGAATATCTTTATCACCTCATCTTTGTGTCAAATAAACAATGATTGTTTCTGTTTTATTATGGTTCTGATTGCTTTAGTAGAGAAAGCTTGTAAGGAGCTTGGCATCACCAGGCAAAATCCCTATTGACCTATATCTCCCTACTCATCCTTATAAACTCTGGTGCCTTCCTTTTACTTCTTTATTCCTTCAGGTGAATTTCTTCAGAATGGGTTGTGTAGCTTAATTACAGGTTAATTTAAAACACAATTCCAAGCACACCTAAATATCTTGCCACAGATTTTTCATTTATTTTCCTTTTCTCTGTTCCTACTTGAATTACATACGCTCCTCCCTGAGCTTAAAATAGAAGTAGATGTTGCTGACACCTATGCTCCCAGAGCAACCTTCTGAAGACAAACATGCCTGGGGGAAAAGGTGCAGTAAAAAATCAAGAATAAGCAGTGAGATTAAAAGCCCTTTTAAAAAGGTGTGCTTCGACAAAGTTAATTCACGTCGACTGAGATTAAGAGACTAATGTTTCTCTTTTACATTCCCAGACTGTTCATAAACCAGAAATGAAATAAACTGTGTTTTCTGAATATGAGCTAATACATCTTCTAACTGGAAATTGTTCACCAAAATATTGTGTCTTTTTAAAGACTGAAGCTGCCCTGTGAAGGATTTAGACCCTGCTCTGTTTTGGGTGGCCTGTATACAATCTGTCTTCATATATTAAAGGACCTTCAAGAATTTCAAGGGAAATAGACACTATGAAATAACTATGCATGAATTTCATTTTGGGAGGGCACCAAAATAATCTCTCACTTTAATTCCTTTTTCCCATGAATGTTTTGAAGTCCCTTTGTGTATCTATTCTAGGGAGATCACAAGTTTTCTGGGAAGAACGGTTTTGGTCTTTAAGATTCCCCATAAAGCTGAGACTAGTAAATAGTGTAGTGCTAAGTTCAGAGGGTTGAATTTGGAGCCATCCTCCTCTCTTGATGTTCCAGGAGATATTTCAGTGGGTTGACTAGGACAGGTGAGATATAACCACTTTTCTATGAGGAGTTATGATTGGATACCACCAACAAATGGGACAAGCCTTACTTCTATTAAATGCTTTATTCAACAAATATAGACTCTACTCATTTAAGGGCTAGGTGCCATGCTAGACACTGTGTCATGCTATGTCACAGTGAATAGTACAAACTGGAGGAGACAGGCTATAGGCACAGAATCAAATAGGTGTACAATTGCACATTGTATTAAATACCGAGAAGCAAAAGAACAAGGACTGTGAGAGCATGACAGGGAGGACTTCAGGTTGAGTGGGCAAAGCTTCTCCATGGAAATTATTTTTAACCCAGACATGAAAAATGAGCCAAGATTAGTTGGGCAAAGATTTCAAGAAGAGCTTTCAAGAGCTGGTCCTAGTGGTTAAGGGAGCCAGATCCCATGTGGCAACTATGCAGTAGTAATCTAGGAGAGTGATGGCTTGGATTAGGGTGGAAGAAGTGGAGATGAATTTCAGAAATCTTCTAGAAGAAGAACCAGGACCACTAGGGAATGGGTTGGAGAGAGGAGTGGGGAAGAGGGTGGTGCCAAGAATCACTCCCAGGGTTCTGTTCCCTAGATTCTGTTTCCTGGGATGAGGAAGATTGGCATAGGCGCAAGCTTCCTGGGGCTGGATTTTTTTTTTTTTTTTTTGCTATAGGGCGCGTGCGCTTGCCAGACAGACGGAGAGAGACAGAGAGATAGAAAGCGAGAAATCACCCCCCAGGGGGGATGGTCATGCCGCAGTCCCTTCTCCTCCATTCTCCTCTTGGGATCTTGGGCACGCACGCACATGCGCCCGGCATGAGTTTTAAGCCACCGGGTCTGGGACGCGAACCGCGGTCAACTACATGGGAGTCCAGCGACATAGCCATTATGCTAACTGCTGGTCCCTGAGGCTGGATTTTGTTGTGAGCCTTGCAGACAGGATTCTGAGGTGTGAGGAATCTAAGTTTGGGTTTATGTATTTCTTGTTTTAATTCTCCCTGAAAGAAAAGAGAGGTAGAGC